CCCGAAAGAAAGAGAAACCAAACAGGTAAAAGAAATGAATAGAACTGTTCAAGACCTTTTATTTCTTAAATATCTTAATGTGCCCATCATGTTTTCAGTCTCAATGTGCTCTGAGACCTGGGCATTTCTACTTTTACACATCTCTGCTACCAACCCCACCCGGTTTAGATGCATACTTAACCTACTGTGTCTGAATATAAATATAAATTCCTCTAGAATGCTTTCCCTGTGTGTGTTTCCTTTTCTCAGTATGTGTATTCTTTCTCTGGTTGCCCAGAGTAACAAACAGTAATTTACCTGATTGTACATTTAACTGTAGCTTAAGTTTAGGCATGGGAAAGACAATAATAATTTTTTCATAAGATACATAGCCTCTCATTTTTTAAAAAAAAAATTGAGACAGGTTTTCACTGTAACTTTAGAGCCTATCCTGAAACTAGCTCTGTAGACCAGGCTGGCCTCAAACTCACAGAGATCCGCCTGCCTCTGCTTCCTGAGTGCTGGGGTTTAAGGCGTGTGCCACCACCACCCGGCTCATTTTCAATTTTTCAAAACACTTTATTTCCCATATTATACATGTCACCATTCAACATATATTTGTAGAATAAATGAATGAATATAGTAGATTTAATTCAAACCTTTGTCTAATCTCAATAAAGAGCAGGTTAAAAACTCTTATACTGAGACTGTTTCAGATCCTAATATTTTAATAGCTTCTTTGGAATAGAATGTGGTTTCTGAAATTGATAAATGGCTGTTGCATCTAGTACTATTTCCCTAATTTTTAATGGGCTTAAAAATAATCTTAAACAATTTCCATAAATAGATGCCTGATTCTGTTTCCTATCAGCGTAGACACACAGCCTGAGAAACTTCGCAAACTGGGCACGGTGGCACACTCTTATAATCCCAGTACTTGAGAGGTTATGGCAGGATAATTCCTGTGACTTCAAGGTCAAGTTGGACTACTTATTGGCCACACTGGCCCTCAAAAAACAGACAAACTCATGATATACTTGTGAGAAGAATTTTGCTTTGGTTGTGTTCTTTATGGTTTCTTTGTTTTTTTTTTTTTTTCTTTTAATAATACTGAGTGTTGTGGTTTATTTTATGGAATGTCTTCCAATCAAAAAGTGATTGTTTACTCCCATTCCCTTCATGCCACTGTTGCTCCAGTATATCTTGCAGACAGCTTGCTTTTGTAGATCACAGTGTTTGTAGCTCTGTGATTTTGATGATTACCATTCTCCTTGGTAATGTACAGAGCACCCTCTAGGACTGTGAACCCTAGCCATTAGGGGTGAAGCTTCTAATCGAGCACCAGCTTGAAGTCTCTTTGTTCAATGTTATAAGTAAATGGTGTCCTCAACAATAGGGACTTCCTATCAGGTTATAGAGGGCAAGTACTAGTCTGTGATATTTTAAGGTTTCTTGGGACCTATTTGGCCATAACTCAATAAGATGTAGCCCATTGCTAGTACTAAAGTTTTGGTGGGATAAGACACCAGTTGGGGCACTGTCTCCCTCAGTTTATGATGACTCCATTTAAACTCTTCCCATATTGAGTATAGATTAGGGTGCTTCTACAGTGGTAGTGTCCTATCATAACACAGCCCAAGAATAGAGTGTATGAGGAGAATTCTGAGTCCCTGTGAGAATACTCATAAAAAAAAAAAAGATGAGAATCTTGTGGCCTCCGTTTCTTCACTAACATGGAATTGTTTTTTAATTTATTTTTGTGTGTGTTCTCCTCCCAGGTGTAGTGGATAGGAGTGAGTTTACGTCAGAGTATACATTACAACAGGCTGTTGTTTTTATGCCTCCAAGGGAAAACATGTTTTTGCCACATGTGGATGGTTCTTGGGATTGCACACTACTCATGTGATTGCTTCTTAAACCTCAGAATATAAATTATCTGATGCTCTGAATAAGGTTGGCAATACCATGAGACTTTAGTCCAGCTCATATTTAAATTCCGTTCTCCCAAGTCCCACCACCTCCAGAGCAGTAAACAGGTTTCCATATGCTTTTTTCAAAAGGCCTTTCGTGTTAGTTGTCCTCTCCATACTGCCCCCCTATCCATCTCTCCCACACCCTCCTCATTTAATCTTCCCATTTTACTTTACGCTTTATCTTTCTATAACACCATATTCTATTTGCCCTTCCTTGGGAGACCCCCACACACCCAATCCCTTATTAGGTATAGGACCTCTGTGGTTATTTGGGTTGTAGCATACATTTCAAAAGCTTAAAAGCTGACTTCTACATTGCAGAAAACATGGCCTATGAGCTGTAAGGTACTTGGCAATTAGGATGTCCATACAAGATTTGTCTTTCAAATGTATGTGGTTTAGTCATACAAATATTCCAATTAATATGCTAATATAAGAGTTAAACAGACATCTCACCAAGCAGGCAAAAGCTGTTTAGGCAGAAATTCTCTCAGGTAAGAAAGTTTGAGAAACTCGCACAATTGATCCTCTTTGAAATACTTCAACTTTGGCAGGCTGGAAAAATGGCCCTGATGAAAGTCCCGGAAGCCCTAAGACTGATGGCCAGCAACTAGATGGGGGCCCAACAATGGTAACAAGGAGTTCAGCTGTGACCACAGCCAGGGCCACACACAGCGTGCACAGTTCAAATTTTTGTAACATTTCAACATGCTCACAGCTCAGGGCTGGTTCACTAGCTCTTCCAGACACCTCCGGATTAGTTCATTAGCATATCAAGTCCTGTCCTGGGTTTGGATTCTGTCTGAGCCAGGGGCTTAATTCTGAGGCAAAGGCAGATCTGCCTCGTGGGAAGCTCAGGTATCATTACTATTTCAAGTCATATAAAATGGACTTTTTAACTTACACAGCCCTCAATTTCATTTTTCTTACTAGCTTAACAATATCCCATTGTGTAAATGTACCACATACTCATTATCTCTTCATCACCTTATGGGCATCTGTGTTTTTAATTTCAGGCTATTATGAATAGAACAGCAATGATGATGGATGAGTAAATATCTCTGTAGTAGGCTGTAGAGTACTTTGGGTATATGCCCAGGAATGGATCTTGAGGTAGATGGATTTTGAGCTTCTCGAGGAACCTCCACGCTGATTTTCACAGTAGCTGTACCAATTTTCACTTCCACCAGCAAGGACTAGGTGTTTCCTTTCCCCCCATCCTTACCAGCATATGCTGCCATTTGTTTTATATCTTAGCCATGCTGAGGGGTAAGATGAAGTCTCCAAGCAGTTTAATTTACATAAGAGTTAATAGTTAAATGGATAAATTTTCTCTCTGAGACTAATACTTCTTAAAACAGCAATTAATTCAAGTCTAATGTAAATTTTTCATTTAATGGTCATGCAAAAACATAGCTCTCACCTCAGAGAGATCAAGAGATAGTTTACTCCGGGACTAAATGTGAGTGACTATTATTATTATCATTATTATTAATTTAATATTATTAATGGCAATAGTATATAAATTTAGGTCCCTCCAAACACCATGTTATCATGTTCCAAAGAGGTAGTGATTGCATGAACTGCTTTTAGTAACAGAAGAAAGCCATACACCAAGACAGTTTTCACATACTTTGGTGGGTGTATCAGGCATGGCAAGATGGAGGGAACTCTGTAACATACCTTGGATGCTATCTATCAACATTCTTAGCCCCTTGATTGGTGGAAAACTAGTGTTTCATTCAGTTAGCCCACACCAAAATTGTTGAAATATGAAGCGGCGGGGCTGTGTCCCCAACACCCCGGCCGCTTGGCTGGCTCATGCCCGAAATAACAACACACAAACTGTATTCATTTAACTGCTTGACCCATTTCTATCTAGCCTCTTCTAGAATAATTCTCACATATTAATTTAGCCCATTTCTAATCATCTGTGTAAGCACCCCAAGGTGCGCTTACCGGGAAGATTCTAGCCTCCGTCCATCATGGTGTCTCTGCTCCAGAGAGCAGAGTTGTCTGGTCTGTCCGGGAGCAGAGCAGAGTCTGACTTCACTTCCTCTTCCGCCCAGCATCCTATTCTGTTTATTCCACCCACCTATGTTCTAAGCTATGAGGCAAGCAGTTGGTTTATTATAATTAACCAATTACCTTCCTCCATCACAAAATAACTTTTATCTGTTAGTCACACATTGTTAGATCTGACATGAAGGTGCAAAAGGAATGGCTATTTAGTAGCCCAAACATAGACTGGGTTAGTTGGTAATCAAGCTCTGGAATTAAAACTTCCCAATCTCTCCAGATTTTAATCAGTTTTAATGAAATTACCTAAAGCCGTCACAGCTTTTTTCTAGGAATTCTTGTTCAGGGTTTAGCCTATTGGCTAGGCATAACATTTTGTACATATGTGTGGGGGGGCATAACACATTTATTAAATATTATAATGCCCCTCGTAGCTTGGAAGGCTTAGTAATAGGATCTGACAGAGAAGAGGCTGAGGGCTAGGCAGGACAGTTTATCTTCAGGAGAGAGGAATAGCTGGTAACCACATAAAGAAACAAACTCTGAGGACCCAGCAAAAGAATTAGTCATGATCATGATCTTACTTATAAAACAATAACAAACAAACAAGCAAAACCAAAACTCCTTTGTATCCGACATAAAATTGTCATTCGCAAACCTTTGGCAGAAAACACATTTTTGCGCATTCCTATTTAAGGAAGAGCAGTTCAAGGAAGCAGTAGGAGGTGATGGGGGTGTAGATATCAGTTATGGTTTTTAGTAGTCCTTTAATGAAAATTTAAAATCTTAAAAAAACACAAACCAGACTCAACATTGGTCTTACATGACTGGAAGGAGATGGGAGGACAGTTTCAGAGAGGTCTAGTCTCTCAGAGGCTATGGGCGGAGTTTTGGGGCTGTGAGCGAATTCTGCCTTGAAGTTCCTCGGCTTCACTCGGCTTCACTCGGCTACCTTCGGCTCTCTCCGAGGAGGGAGCGCGTCTGCGCACGCGCCCTCCGTTTCTGCCGCTCGCAGCGGCTGTTTAGCTCGTGGTTTTCACTTCCTTCTCGTCAGAGCCGTATCCGGGTCTTTGCTCTCCCTATTGTTTCAGCCAGTCGGCCTCAGACTGTGGGGATTCTGGGTCTTTTGTTGCTTCTGGTGCAGGATAATAAAGTTTTCTGTTCTTTTTATTTCTGGCTTTTACGGGGGCAGCTCCCCTCGCAGGGCGGCCGGGCGGGCCTGGCGCTGCTGACCGGCGAGCACGGGGGAAGGGGCGGGGTGGGGGTGGGGAGGGACGGTGGCCCGCCCCCGGGGTCGCCCCTGCTCGGCCGGCGCACCGCCCCGCGTAACTAGCTGCTCTCGGACTGGTCTCCGTGGCCCTCCGCGCGTCCCCGCTGCCTCGCCTCCTGCAGCGTCTCCCTAGGTCTCCTCCAAACGACCACCTCACGGATTCCTTAGTAAGTGTATCCGAGGCCTCGGTCGGCCCCTCCCGACCCTTCCAGAAGTCAGGACTTGAGGAACAGGGAGGACTGGGTGGGTCCTGCGTGACAAACGGACCCCTGGTAGATGCTGCTCGCTGGTCCCCGGCAGTGAGCCCTGGCTTCTGGGTTGCAGTGGGTGTACGCTTTTGTACGTTGCGGGGTCTAAGAGGGATTGCCGAGGAGTTACAGAAGCATGTCTCTCGAAGGTGTGTTGGGGTCTGCGAGGGTGGGCTGGTTTGGCTTGGTCGTGGCCGCACCACAGGGGCAACCTGGCCTTCTGCAGTCAGCGTCCACAAACCCAACTTCTCCCCCAAGCACTGAGAACTCAGAGTCCTTGCACGATGTCACCCCTACCGTCTTAAGCATCCCAGCTCTCCCTGTTCGGTGAGGTTGTAAAATGACCGTAATGTTTTCTCTTCACAGTGGATCGCAGCTCCAAGAGGAGGCAGGTGAAGCCTTTGGCAGCTTCTCTTCTGGAAGCTCTCGATTATGATAGTTCAGATGACAGTGATTTTAAAGTTGGAGATGCTTCAGGTAAACGTTTCCTTCCTCCTTCCCCTTCGCAGCTTTCTCCGGTTCCGTGTATTTTTAACTTTAATTTTTGAACCAGTTTTGATTAAAATGTTCATTTACAGTAAAAGCACACATACCATTTTGTTCATTTGATTTCCTGCATTTTCCCAAGATCCTTTCACTAGATCCTGTTATGGTTATCTGGTACAGAAGAACCCTTTTCAAAGATGCAAAAGCAGTTTTTTTCTATCCTATACCCTAAAATGCATTTATGCTTATATATTTTAGTGAAGAGTTGAGGTACCCCAGATATAGAAGAGTATAGACGAATACTATGGGCCATAATTAGCCTTGCACAGGGTTACTCCCTTTTCAGCTCCCATGGCACACTGAGAGGAGCTCTGTTTTGTGCCTTAGCTCCCTTACAGAATAAATTTAGTCCAAGCAAACCTTCTGCTTAAAAATAGGTGCAATGCCTTGAGGAAAACATACACGCTTGCTCTTTCTAGTTAAGGGTTTAAAAGGTGATGAAAGTTGTATGTACACATGTATAGAAGGAGAACATTATGGTTTTCCTGTATGCGTTTTCTTCTGTGTACTTAATGTGTACTTACTATATTAGGCTGAGCAATACTCCAGGCCCTCTAACATGTTTTTAGTATCCCATCATGCAGTTTGGCATTTTGAAACATCTTGCTCCCTTTCTCTGTAGTGAGAAGGCATGGAATTAGTTTGAGTTGTGTCACTGTTAATGGCACCAGCAAACAGTTTGCATTATGGTTTAAGGCAGACTCTCATTTAGATTTTATAATAGCTTTTCATGGAGATAGTTCTTTAGAGTCACGGGGTTCTGTCCGGGATATAGTACTGAGTTTACACGATTGCCCAGGAAGTTACTCATAAACTGATGGACCCGATGGGTCTGACGGTAACATTTCATCTTTTCCCTGTTCAGAACCTAGGAGTGGGTTGATGTAATCTCAAGTCACAATGGCTTGGAGATTGCGGTAACTGATGAGTTCAGTCCAGCAATCAACATTTGATAAGCTTGTCTTGATTAACTGTTTTCTAACCTTTCCTTTGCAGCTCTTTATCTCCTATTTAGTTGACTCACTGGTGTTTGGTACTTTCAAAGAAGGAAAGGGAAAGGTGGTGAAATACAGAAGTCTTCTTCCTAGAGAAGACTAACAGGAATATGCTTTGCTAAAAGGTAGTATTGGTGTGTCAGTGAGACTCCAAACTGCCAAAAATTGTTACCAGTTAGAAGGCAGGAATTTATGAAACAAACTCTAAAACTTTCTTTAAATGTTCAAAAATGGTTTTGTTTCGATAAATTCTGACTTATAGGTTTAATTTCTCATTTTTTGAGTTGGAGTCGTGCACTAGCATTCTCTTTACAAGGCATGGGATCATCCAGATACGCTTATAAGATTCTTTAAAAATAATGTATGGGATCCAGCCAAGTCAACATTCCCGACCTTGATAAGTACGAATAATTGTTGAACGGATGTTATATTTGGCTAATGTACATCCCCTAAAAGCACTCAAATTTCATACGTTCTGTCCCTGGTCGTATAATTCCCAGTTTTTTACTGCCCTGACTCCTGGTGACTTTATATACATGATATTAAGATTTCAGGTCATGGATTTGTTTTTGCAGTTTTGGAAATGTTATTGAGAAAAAGAGCTGGTGGTCACTGATTTTATTTCAAATAATAGTCAGTGGCATGCGAGTCTCCTTCCCCATGTTTGCCTCCTGAATGGTGGTGCTCCTCCCCGCTGAGATGGTGACTTATCTAGATCAGCACTACTTCCTCTCACTGTTGATTGTGGGCCATGAAATAAACATGCTCTAAGACAGGGCACAGGTAAAATTATGGTACTAGCCACCAGAAGAACCGGATGTGGAAATGCTAGATGGAACCGCATACAAGTGACTGATTTTGTGGTTCTAAACCAGCCCAGTACTGGACACACACTTCCTTTAGCTTAAGTAAAGCATTTGATTTGATTTGTGCCTAGGATTAGGGATAATTTTCTGTTATCTGCATTGAAAGCTTTTTGAAGATGTGTGCATTCGTTCATTTTACTAACAGTATAAACTAGTGGTGTCCTGACCATTCCTATTTTCTTTGCTATGCAAAGCAAAATGGGTTACCTTTAGATCTTGATGGGTTATTTAGTTAATACAGTGAGGCCATTTTGCCTGGAAGTAATCTAACTAGGAGAGGCAGGTTGAGACTTCAGTAATAGTTTCTTTTGGTAGTGCTTTTTTGTTTACTCTGTTTGTTGATCAAGTTGTATTCATTAGAATTTAATTTTAACACTTTCCTGAATGTTATAGGGAGAGATTGCACTTACTAAATGATGGGTAATACAGGGAGTAGTTGATTATGTCTGTGGTTCAAGTCTTCTGGAGGAGAAAGGGTTGTTTTTGACTAGGTTGATATAGGTCATCTTCATTGAGGAGCTAGGGAAGGAGCTGTGAACTAAGAATAGTAAGTAAAGAGAAAAACAGTCTTGGTGAGAGAAACAATACATGTTAAAGATGCAGAGACATGGACATGTTATTTCTGTTTGGGGTTAGGAACATACATGCGTAGAGGACAGTGAGACTATTGAGATCTTATTTTAGATGTGGGTTTCTCAGAAAGCCTTGGCACTCTTGGCGTTTTGTGTTGACTGTTTCTTTGTTGTGGAGGTTTGCCCTGTGTAGTCCAGTGTCGATGTTTAGAGTACCGTTGTCTTGTGTTTGATGCCAGTGTCTTCCCTACTTGTTGTATCTACTGTGTGACTGCCAGTGTTTCCGGGAGCTAGCGCATGTCCTTGGAGAAAGAGTTACCCATCCCAGAGAAGCTTTGCTTTGGATTTACCCAGAAAATGCAAGATGGCACAGCCTGTAACTAGAGTCAGGAGAGAATGAGTTGTGTTGTGATGGGCTTCTATGAAAAGAAACCGAATTATTGAAAGATGATTCTAGGCTCTGTTAGTTACTATGTTAGTTTGTGCTGCTAATTCTTGCCAATGAAAAGAATAACTAAGGTTATAGAATTATTGGACAAAGGCTATATTTCATAGCTGGAAATCTCTAAATTGTACCGATTTTATTATTTAATATTCATGATTAAGAAAATGAGTGTTATAATGATACTTATTGTTGATTATTAAATTCATATTATCAAGTGAATATTGTCAAGGTACTTTTGAAGTTTTGTTTTTAATTCTGTAACTAAAACAATTTCCTTAACTAACAGTTGAAATGATTGTTTCTTTGAGTGATCCTTATATACTGTGTGTTTTGAAGGGTTATTTTTCTTAATTCTATAACTAAATGAAGAACTGAATTTTAATTTTAAACTCACTTTAAATGTAAAAAAATTCATTCTAGGTACGGGGATTAATTAACTCTGTCCTTATGCATACGATAGCTTTATTTGCAATATCTGGCTAATTTCTTCACACTTTTAATTTTCCTTTCTTCTTTGCCTCCTTCCTCTATTATTTCCTTTCTCCTATGCAAAATGATAGATTTGGAAGGCAACATGGGGGGATAGTTGTTCTTTGATGTTGTAGTAATAGCAGTGCTTTTCTTTTGCAGCCTTTAAATATGTAGCCAGGTGTGGACCTTATTTCTCATTGTTGTTTTTTTTTTAATCTGTGCTTATGAATAAATATATCTGTTCATCAAATGAATATGTACCAAATAGAAGTAATGGCTAATCAGATGAAAAAGTTATTTTTCCAGCGATCCTGGTCCTGTTGTTAGATTATAACTAAGATGTTACATTTGGTGATGAAAAAGTTTGGCAAGCACCTAGTATTTGAATTTGAAGAAAAATATAAAACAATTGAATTTTAAAATTGCACTGTGCTCAAACATGATTATAAAACAAAGCAAGATCAAAGAACATTAGCTTACCCCTATATTTGAAAATAATTGACATTAGTATTTACATTAAAAATAAAATTACAAACTCTATGACATATGTAAAGTTTACCAGATATTACAAGGTTTATTCTCATCGGGAACCCATACTCTGTACTAGGAGCCACTAGGGGAATTTATGTATCATTTATTACACTCTTGTTACAATACCTTGTAGAAGAGTAGGGTCTTCCTCTTTCGTCTCTCCCTTTGAGCTTCTTGATTGCAGTGTTACTTATGAGGCGTCATACTTTTCTTTAGCTAATGTGCACAAGGGAGCCTTTTCTACCATTCTGCTTATTTCTTAGAAGACCATTATTTAGAAATTTGTAGAAACCGTTGTTGATTTTAGCTAGGATTGATTTTTCTTTGTAGGTTAGGTTCAGTTATTGTGAGTGGTGTAAAAATCCAAATTTTCTTAATGATTTATAGAACTGTTCAACTGAAATCAAGTCACTCGTTGGGAATGATATCGAGTCCATGCTCTTTAAATCTAAAATGCTGAACCGTCTTTAAGGATTTCTTCAGTTTGGCAGAAACTTGTTTTACAGTAGAGCCGGTCGAAAACAGACAGTTGATTTGTGTCATCTCTCACACATTGTGAATATTTGTACTTTACGTTGTTTATTATATTTGGTAGCAGCTTAGGTATTAATGTGGTATTAATGTAATATATTATTTATATTTCAAATTACCTTTGTAAAATGTGATCATTCCTAAATTTCAGCTCCAAAGGTCTGAAACCTAGGGAATTGTTAGCTTGGACGATAGTGCGTGTTTGCCCTGTGTAAGATTATTTAGAATAAGGGCAGTTTTTTTTTTTTTTTTTTTTTTTTTTAGAACACTACTGATTAAGCGGATAGTCTTGAGGTTGATAGTGAATTCATTGGGTCATTCAGCATCTGTTGTTTTCATTTCTTGCGTGAGTTAACTAGCACACAGGATAGTTCTGTTATTAACCCTGTATGTGGGGCTTCTGAGATGATTGAGCTGCACTAACCTTTGCACCTTCAATTCCCAGTTAATTTTAAAGGTGAAGGAAAGTCAAATTCATTGAAATTAAAATTATATAGAAACATAATTTTCTAACATTAAAACAGTAAAGTAATGCTTTGTACTATTTTATCATTTCCATTTTCTTGACTATAGATGCAGACAATTTATTTTCCTATAGATTTTACAATTGGTATAAAAACCGTTTCTTCCTCTTCTTTCTCCATTTCCCTTTATCCTCCTGTTCAAATATTTAAAATCTTTACTTTTGGTTTGTGTGCAGACAAGATTAGAGTAAGTGCTGGGTTGAGATGGACTTGGCCGCCCTTGGTGGGCATGGAAGCAGCTTGCTGATTGTAAGCTTGCGTGATCTACGCAATTATCATAGTTTACTTGTTCAGTAGCAGGGAGCTGGGCATTTTAGGATAGATTCATTTCTTCATGAGCATCTTCCATTGTAGGACACTTAATAGTTAGAACTTACGAAAGTTTGCATGACACATTTATTGATATGGGTAGTATTCTAAGCAGGAAGACTGAAATTTTCTTTCATCTTCCATTTTCTTACGTGCCATTGGTTTTGTCCATTTTCACCTTTGTACTTGATGTAACATTGTCTGCCACAAGTTCACTATCAAATGTCTATGCTTGTTTGGATAGAAAAAGGTTTAACAAATCAGACAATTTTAGAGGGCTAAATTTTTCTTGCTTGATTTGTGATTTATTAGTTTAAGTATACATATTTTATGAAAGAAGGATATAAACAAAGATTAGTTAAATTACATTATGGTAAAGTTATCATCAAGTGCCCGTTAAAACATACTTTTAGACAATAAAACTATCTCTAGGACATTATACTGTTATTAGCTATTTGATATAAAATGGTAGTACTATTCTTATAGTATATTCTAACTTACATTTCATATGTCATCCTCATTAATTCATATTGGATTAAATCATATATCAACTTTGTTGACTTATTATTTAATGAGGTTGGGAATGTCTGCCATCCTTTGCCGTAGATTTGTTTATATTGTTTTGCAAGTTATTCACGAGTTTTGGTGGTTTCATTTGTGTCAGTGTTGTGTGTGTGTGTGTATGTATATACATATGTGTGGTTTTTTTTTCTCATATTTTCGACAGATTCTGAAGGGAGTGGTAATGGAAGTGAAGACCCTTCAAAGGACAGTGGAGAAGGCTCCTGTAGTGATTCTGAGGAAAACAATTTAGAAGAAGAACTGAGTGAAGATATTAAAGTAAAAGAAGAACAGCTTAAAAATTCTACAGAGGAAGAAATAGTGCCATCAGATAAACAGTTAATTAAAATGGAAAAGAAGGAAGAAGAAGAAAATGGAGAAAGACCTAGAAAGAGAAAGGAGAAAGAAAAGGAAAAGGAGAAAGAAAAGGAAAGAGAGAAGGCAGCAGTATCTGACAGTGCAGCTGCTTCTGCTGCCGCCACCACAGCCACGAGTCCTGCTGTCACCTCCCCTTCTGTCCCTGCCACCACCGCCCCCGAGGAACAAGTCAGTGAGCCCAAGAAATGGAATCTTCGTCGAAACCGACCCCTTTTGGACTTTGTGTCCATGGAAGAGCTGAACGATATGGACGATTATGACAGTGAGGACGACAATGACTGGAGACCTACCGTAGTAAAGAGAAAGGGGAGGTCGGCGTCTCAGAAGGAGGGCAGTGACGGAGACAACGAGGATGATGAAGATGAGGGAAGTGGGAGCGATGAAGACGAGAATGACGAGGGCAATGACGAAGACCATAGCAGCCCTGCTAGCGAAGTGGGCTGCAAGAAGAAGAAGAGTAAAGTTCTTAGCAGAAACAGTGCTGATGATGAGGAACTGACCAATGATAGCCTGACCCTATCTCAGAGCAAGAGTAATGAGGTAGAGCAACCCAATTTTTATGATATCTGTCTGTCTGGGGAAAAGGGAACTCTCTAACTCACTACTTATATATAGTAAGTAGCTTCCTTGAATTTTTATTTAGTTGTAGGTGTGAATGAACACCCTAAATGTAACCTTTATTCGTTTGGTCAACAAACTTTTACTTACCCACCATTTGTCAACATTCTCCAGGAGTTTGTAGTTTCCATCTCCAAGGAGAAGAATATGTAGAGAAACATTTTTATATCTCTAGACTTGGGAAACGATAGTTCTCTATTCCCATTTTTCTCATCTTCCTGTTCATAGATGCTAACTGGCACTGAGTGGGTTATGGTAGGAGAAACTCCTTTCAGCATAATTTTGTCCATAGACACATAAAAATAAAAAGCTTTTGAATACTTTAGAAGAGAACAGCAAATAGCTCATTTTTTTTTCTCAGATTTGTAGAGTTGTTTTAAAGGGTTAAGTCATCAACTGTTACAGTCATCAGCATAGTCACCAGTGCTTTGCTTTATGTGTGTGAAGGTAAAATGTACTTTTAAAAACATATTTATTGAACAAATTCTCTGCAAAGAAGTAAAAATGAAAGCAAATATTTCCCCCATAGAACAAACGTTTCTATCCTGAAGCAACAGTAATGACTTCAGTCCTGCCATTGAAGTTCTACTGCACGTTAGGTTTACCCATTGGTCCAGAGGTGCAACGTTCAAGACTTCAGTTAAATATATCTGTGTATCTGTCTGTGTGCCTATATGTTTTCCTTCCAAAAGAAAGATTGATTTGCTGTCTTACATGTAGATGTATCTGTTACATCACATGGAGAACTGTTTTAATTCTGTCATTTCCGTTACTGTGTTTATGTCAACAAAATTTTCTTCACCATTTTTTTTTTGTTTTTCATATCATTGAAGTAGCTTAAACTGGTAGATTTTCTTTATGCTTTATTTATTCTTTCATATTTTTCTGCTTACAGATTTTCAGAGTAGTGCTTGTCTATTTTAACCAGGCTTATTATCAATTTTGTGGGTTTCTTTTCCTCTTAAATAATATATAGCAAACTCAGGGATTCCATGTCAGCAGAGGTGAAATAACATCTTATTATTTGCATTATAAACACCGATTAATTTCAGGTTTCTCTCATTCCTATGAAGAACATTGCCTGCTTCCAGTGCTATGCTAATTTTTATCTTTCGGTAAAGGAAAACGCATTTGAGGAGGTAGTGTGGTACTTTTTAAGGTTGTAGCATAAACTGTTCCATATTGCCAATGCCATTTTGGCTTATTTATGGTTGGTTATCTGTTAATATTTAGATTGCACATTTATCTGTTTAGTTTATTTTTAAAGCATTTAGCACTTATTTTAGGTCTATTGATTGAACTTACTTTTGGTAACATCTCTTCATGTTCCATGTTTATTGGGTTAATATCCACAAAAGTAATTTAAGATAGAGGGCATATACAGTAATCTGTAGGGACACTTGCATAAGGTATTTATCTTTTAATTACCTCTGCTTGACAACAGTGTTTTAATAGACTTAAGTTTTATAATACATTTCAAGATCATATATGTGGGTTAGTTTTTTTTTTCCTTCTGGTGATAAAATTAAAAATTCTGGTAAGTAATGGGGCCTATATTTAAGTGTCCCAAGATATTTCTGGGATGAGATTCCAAAGTATTCTTAGTAAAATGCCCATATAGAATAACTTACAGAAAGCTAATCTCTGTGAGAATAGCCTCCTCCTGCTTATATGCTTCATCACAGTTTTTGTCCCGTCAACTATTTTAATTCTTTAAAATTTTTTAATGATTTTAATTATATTTAAATCATGTTAAACTAAACTAGACATTCAATTTTAGTTAATAAATTTCTTACTTACAAGTCTAAATTTTCTATTTATATGATCTTGTATTTATAGAAAGATGTTTGAAGTTTATTCTTGCTTCCTTATGGGTCAATCTTACTAGTCCTTATAGCTAACAAGTACATCATTTTTTTCCATTTTCCCTTTAAGTGTCAGATTCCCCTTTGTAGTAGAAACAGCTGTAGAAATACAAACAAGAATATCATATTTAGTTTTTAACTGGAAGCCTTTTCTTGGTTGCAATGTCAAGTAGATTTGCAGAGAAATGATATGGGTTGTCTACAGTTAAATGGTGCTCTGAAACCTTAACAATTTTCAGTTTTCGTAGGGGAATTTACATTTTTTAACCAGGGCCCTTTTATAACTCACTTTTTGGCTTCAACATGCCTCATGCACATAGAGGAATGCTTCTAAAGCATTTAGGCTTTTGGATTCCTTTATCTTAGATGTTATTGAAGACTTGCAGTATTATTTATGTTGACTGTGTCTATTGACATTTGCAATTTCAAATTAAATCTTAGAAACTATAAAAACAAAAACATAATAGAGAAGCAGACAAGTTGTTAAGTTGGTAACACTGACTTTAGGTAGCTTCTTGAACACTCCACTAGTCACAAGAGAAGAGTTAAAAAAAAGCAAGTAGTATATTAATAGGATCATGAGAATAGTCTTTACCTGTGCACTTCCTGCAAAAGAGCTTCCTGAAACACACCTTTGCTGCTTGAGCACGGGTACTTGGAGTTGCATTTTCTGCAAATTGGTACCTATCTTTTTCCGAGGGCTTTCACATTTGCATGTTTTAAATCAGTACAGTCTGGATAACGCCCCGCCCCTGCGGTATAGCTCTGTCCTTTTCAGTCCTTTATTTTGAAACTTTTAAGTGTCACTAATAGCATTTTGCCCACCCATTGATCTTCTTACCTAAGTTTTTAAAAGAAGGGTAGTGGCTAGACATTGGTGGCACACACCTTTAGTCCCAGCACTTGGGAAGCAGAGCCAAGTGGATCTCTGAGTTCAAGGCCACTATATAGTAAGTGCCAGGACAGGCTCCAAGGCTACACAGAGAAACCCTGTCTCAAAGGAAAAAAGAAAGAAGGGTAGTGTAACATTTTCAAAAAATGATTCTGGTTCTCATTTTGAAGACTTTGAACCTAGAGTAGGTGAGAATTTATACAATGCAGACATTCTGTCAATAGAAATGGCAGTCTTATTTTATTAAGGACCCAAAGCTGCTTTCTCATTGACGATCTCTAGAACAGTTTGGTTTTTGGACTACTGTTTTGATAAATACAGCCTTGTATTTTTTGGCTCAACCACAAAAGAATTTTTTTTTTTTTTTGGTCATACAAGGCTCTTTAATGACAAATGTCACCTAGAGTTTGGCAAAATTTCTAAATGCTTTAAATGGGAAAATATTAACCCTTTCTTTGAAAACATGATTTGTGTTTTAATAGAGCAAGTATAATTCAAAGAATTACAAGTAATTACATAGAGTAAGTAATTCAAGCACACTTAGGATGAAATGAATATAAAAAGTTTATTATCAATTCTTTCTGGCATACTTCTGAAGATATTTATCTTTTGGGATGTCTGACTTACTGATTAATTATCTCTGCACATTTTCAAGAAAAAAATTGCTTTAATTCCTGTTAAAAGCAAGTGTTGTAATGTTTTATAAACATTTGAGAGTCTTATTTTTTTGTCTTTCATGTTTTTGACATGGGGTTTCTCTGTAGCCTTGGAGCCTATCCTGAAACTAGCTCTTGTAGGCCAGGCTGGCCTCAGACTCATTTGAGAGTCTTTGAAGGAAACATTGGTGAAGAGCTGTTGATCACACTTTTGGTATAATATTTTTTCTCATCTTTTAGTGCTGCTTTCATGTAAAGTATATCGGATTTTTTTCTATTAAATCTTAATACAACAGGTAAAATTTAGTGCATTTGGATATGTTTTATAATCAGAGAATACATGGCAAGTGAACACTATGTTTCAGAATGTAAGAATATTAGGCACTGCTTCATTTTTAGGCTAATGTATGTTTGTTTTCACATTTTTAATACTAAGCATTGGGGTTTGACCTGATATCTTCGAACATACATGCCATCATACTTCGTTCTCAGTTGCTCCCCTGGTTCCTCTCTTCTCCCTGCCTGTGTCCTTCCCTTCAGCTCTTCAGCTTAGCTTTTACACGTAACAACCATAGCTCTGTGAATTCTCACCTCCCTTAAGTTCTTTTCTTTAGGATTAACTTTACATTCCAAAGGGAAAAATGAAATAATCATTGAATTATTGCTATAGTACCCTTTTCCCCTAATTTCTAGGTGAGTTTTCTTTTGTCTTCCATAACTTACTTTCCTGATTTTTATTTTTGAATAAAGCTGCATTAAATTTATCGTTGAGCATTTTAGCCTGTTCTTTGAAAGAGGATACATATCTTCAGAAACATGGTAACAAGTTCATAGAAAACTGGTCTCTATTATTTTGATCATAAATGATCATAAATCATACTAAACATTAATGTATGTTTGCTCTACTAACAAAAAGTTAGCTCATAATGTTTTCAAAATTTGGTTTAGATGTTCCTGCTGAACCATCGTGGCCAGCTGTTTGTTTAGGTGGACACTGTAGGGTTACTGTTCTGCCCTCCTCTGCATTACAGTTTGAACAAGCGTCTCACTGTGGTTAGAAGTCCCTGCTATTTTCTCATTCTCATGCATTAGAGAAGAATCCATGTGGAGAGAAATTGGCATAGAGAGACAGCTTAGATAGACATTTTTTCTGAATACAATCAGAACATAGAGGAATTAGATCCCCCCATTGATTCAGTTTCTACTTCAAGAAATTCTCTTTTTATCTATTCACAGTTTTACCCATAGAAATTCACTTAATTTCTGTATTAAAAAGCCACTTTCCGCAGCTTAGAAGTAAATCTTTCGAAGAAAAGTTGACAGTCCATTAACCCAGGTAGTCTATTAGTTGGCAAATTCTGCTTCACTCAGTCATTTTCTAGTCTGTGATATTTAAAAAAAAAAAAAAAAACAAACCAAAACTAACTTAGAAGTGATAGTCTATGAGATGGGGTGGGATTACCAGTGCCCATTCATGCCTGTAATTTGGTTCACCAGAAGACAGCCCATCCCTTGCCTCATTGTTAGATGCACTCGGTCTATGTTTCTCTTCTGAATCATCTGCAGGGAGTGTAGAGGAGAGGAGGAAGCTATGAACAATGCAACACTGATTACCTTTATTATTTCATTAATTCTTACAACAACCTTTTTGTTGCATTTTATTTCTGTCATTCTCATTTTACAAATAGGAACATTGTGTGTTCAACAGCTGTTAAGTGAAAGCTGGGAATGAAACCCATGATATTAACTATTAAGATACTATAAAACTTGAGTTTTCTTTATAGGATAGTCTCACCTTGCTTGGTAGCCATTTTTTTTCTAACTTGTTTTACAGCTGTAATTTTAGATGTTATCCATAAAATGTATTGAAAGAATTATTTTTTGCAACCTGCAAGGATTTTCGGTGGGTGTAGTGGCGTTTGCTTTGGGAACTACAGGCAGGAGGATTAACAAGTTCAAGGGCATCTTGAGTTAAGCCAGGAGATCTTGTCTCAAAACCTTCCTCTCCCCCCTCCCCAAAGATTTGAAATGTCATTTACAATTTGCATTGAAATGATGGTTCCAAATGTTACCTTTGAGAGTATAGATAGAATCTAAAGGGATAGAAAACAGTAAAATATTAATATGAAATTAAATATATTTAGTGACTGTGGCATAGAACTAACAGTTTTGTTTTTTCTATGGTTAGGTTTATAAATGAAAATATACCAGAATGCTACCCTGTAATGTTAATTGTTATTTATGAAAATAGCAAAACTTTTTGTTTTGTTCTTTGAGGTAGGGCCTTTCTGTTTAACTCAGACTGGTGCCCACTTCCTAGGCTCAAGTTGTCATTTTGCCCCATCCACTCGTGTAGCTGGAGCTATAGGAGTGTGCTACTGTGCCAGAATGAATCATTTTTTTAAATTAAAGTTTACATCCATAATGCACAAGGTTTACATTAAAATAGATAGGCTTCCTTTTCTTGAAATATTATCTTTTTATATTTGTCTGCTATTAAAGCTTTCCTCTTTTATGTTGGTAGTAGCTGGCTGTCTTTATTACCACTTTGCACTAGATCTTTCTTGACATAAATGTAAGGAACACTCTTATTTTCCAAGCAACTACTTTTTTTTTCTTTTCTTTTTTTTTTTTCTTTTTCTTTTTGTTTTTTTTTTCGAGACAGGGTTTCTCTGTGGCTTTGGAGCCTGTCCTGGAACTAGCTCTGTTTTTTTTTTTTAATAGCCAGATATGCAGATTATGTGTTCAGGCTTTTTCAGAGTAGTTGGGTAACTCTGGACTTTGGAGTCTAGAGTCTCTCAGACATCATATTTATACTTGCTTATACATTATCCTTAATTTACTCCCTCTTGTTTTGTATATGTGTGTCTTGTCTTTCCTGGTAGTAACTTTACCAAATGTAACTACAAAGTAACATCTCGTTACTTTGAAGATGTCTATGTAAGATTGGTGATTCCTAGAGGATCTGTTGTTCCTTTTCCCCTAATATAAGGGGGAAGTCAAGTGCCAAAGCCGACTTCTCACTTTGTAGAGGGAAGAACCCCTGGCACATGGAGAGAAGTGACAGACAAGATGTATAAAGGTGGCGGAGCATGCTTTGAGGCTACTAATGGGATGCTACATAAATTTGAAGTATGAGAAATAGAATTAAAAAAAAATGAGAATTGTGAGTATTAAATTACTTTTTTTAATTAAAATGTGATTTTTCTGATGTATTTTATATTAGGACTCGCTGATTCTTGAGAAGAGTCAAAACTGGAGTTCCCCAAAAATGGACCACATTCTGATTTGCTGTGTTTGTCTTGGAGATAACAGTGAAGACGCGGATGAAATAATTCAGTGTGACAATTGTGGCATTACCGTTCATGAAGGTAATCTTGCTGTTTTTCTTCTGTTAGAAATGGCTGGTTGACATCTTGTTTAAAGGAAGTTTGAACTTTTTTCATTTATGCTGTGTAAGGTTTTACTATACTATTAAATGATGTGATGGTTCAAATGAAAATAATTTATGAGTCCTGAAATATGTTAATTTTTGTGTGTATATGTCATATATGCATATGTGTTGATGTGTGTATGCACATATGCACTCTCATGCACGTTTGCCTGTTCATGTGTCTGTAGAAGATAGAAGTTGATGTTGAATATCTTAGGTTTTGAGACATGGTCTCTTATTGAACCTTATATTTGCTTATTCCACTAACTGTCTGGCAGTTGAGTCCCTAGGACCTGTCTATCTTTGCACATCTGTGGTGGCAATACAGGCATGCACCACAAAGCCCAGCAATCATTTGGTACACAGAGTCATCACCCATCTTTATTTTATTTTATTTTGTGTGTGTGTGTGTGTGTGTGTGTGTGTGTGTTTGAATCAGGATCTTATATAGCCCAGGCTGGCAGTGGGCTTGCTAAATAGTAGAGAGGATGACCTTGAGCTGAGATTCCTGTCTTTGCCTCCTAAGTACTAGAACTACAGACTTGGTACTCCACACATTGCCTAATGGGCAAGAGAGGGTAATTTTTATTTCTTAAATTACTCTTGAGCCATATTTTCGGTTAGGTCATTTGACCGTGGATATAGTTTTTTAAGGCCGTGATAATAGTTTAAGAAATTTAATTGAAAAAAAAAAGAAATTTAATTGATTTCTGACATTTTGATGCTAGGTCATTTTACTGTGTAATTTTTAAAACATTTTATTGTTGCCATTATTGTTGGCTTTTTTGAGACAGAATCTTGGTAGTCTAGCTGTTCATCAAACTTACAGCCTTTCTCCTGCCTCAGTTTTCTGGGTGCTAGAATTATAGGCATGAGGGATAATTCTAGATTCTCTTGTACCCATTTTATATTTGGAAACTCTTTGAAAGAAGTTCTGGCATTACTTGGTCTTCATTTTCTTATGTCAAAAATCAGTTGCAGCTGAGTATATTCTACTATCTTTAATTTACCCTGACTTACTTAATCAGCTTTGCTAGCTACCTAGTCTGTGGAGGTAGAGAATATACAGCTTCTCATTTACTCTGTACTTGAGGGTGAAGATGCCTTGAGGTTTCAGTATTTTACCTCTGTAATTCTAAAACAACTTTTGGTTTTTCTGTTTTCAGGGTCTCAAGTAGTGTAGCCCAGGTTGGTTTTGAACTCCCTGTAGTTGAGACTAGCCTTGATGAACACAGAATTCTGTACAAATACCATGACAATCTTTAAGGTTAATTAAAGGTTCATAATATGATATGTTTTAGATGAGTAACCTCATTAAAGACAAATGTACCTTTCTAAGGTGCCCTTGAATTTTAGAAACAACTAAAATGCCAGTCTGCATCAAGGCAGATAAATTAGATGATCAAAATAAGTAGCAATGCCATACCTATAGTGAGGAAGTCAACTGCTACAGGAGCTATGTTGTATCAACAGTCAGGGGGCAGACGAAGAGGAGTGCTTGTAACCATCTTATTTTCTCATTTTTCTTTAGTCCCGATCCCAGCCCATGGAATGTTACTTTCCACTGTTCAGGTACCTTATGTCTTCCTGCCTCATTTAGTTACTATAGGTACTCAAGGTGGTTGAGATCCTGTGTTGGTATCAGTGTAACCCCTGTTCTTCAAGTACATGCTTCCTAGTCACAGTCCTGTTTCCACAGATGGAAAGGGGCACAAGAAAGCATTCAGTGCTCCTGAACTGGTCCTTGTAAGTGTTTCTGAGAGCTAGCTGCTATTTGACTTGTAAAAGGAGGACTGTAGTTTTTCACTCTTGAGTAAATCTTCATGTTGCATAATTAATTAATTGATACTATATTTGAGCATCCTAATTGAACAATTTGAAATGCAATGCAATCTTTTTATCATTATATTTTTATTATTCACACTTATGACTTGTACAAATTAAGAATATTCACTGTGTTTTTCCAAGTATGCAGAAATACTTATTGATTATGCCCATTTCTTCTGATTTCTGTCCTCTGGTACCCTGCTCAATTCCTGTAAATTCCTTTTCTATGTTCATTCCAACTTCTCTTAAGTTTCCACAAATAGTTAAGAGAACATGGTCTTTCTGTTTTTGGCTTATTTCATTAAATATAGTATCTTTCATTTCTATCACATTAAAAAACTTTTGTGGCAATTTTTTCATAGCTGAATAGTACTCCATTATACAGATATATCATAGTTCCTTACTGTTAATTTATTGATAGGTATCTATACAGAGTATATATTAGATATTTTGTGACTAGTGCTATAATAAACTTGACATGTAAATAACTCTTAATGCTGACCTCATAGTTTTTGGATATATAGATAGAAGGTGGGTAGCTGGATTATATAATAGGTCTACTTACAACAATATAGAGTTGTTTCATTTTTTCAATATCCCCACTGTATTTTTTTTTTTTTTTAAGTTTATGAGACAGGATTTCTCTGAGTTGCCCTGGCTGTCTGGATTCTGCTTTGTAGACTAGGCTGACTTCAATTTTAGAGAAACCTGCTTGCTGCTGCCACCCAAGTCTGAGATTAAAGGTGTGCACCACCACCAACTGACTTTATTTTATGTTTGTATCATTGCTATTTTAGCTGGCATAAGGTGATACCTTATTGTGGTATTTTCACTTTGCCATGGCTAGTAAAATAGACAGAACATTTCTTTCATATATTGATTGGCTATTTGTATTTCTTTTTTAGAGAAGTTTCTGTTTATGTCATTTTCCTATATGTTTTAGTTGGAAGTTGGAGTACTTGGATTTTGACTGATGATTTTTTTTATATTATGGCTATTAGACCTCTGTCAGGTGAAAACATTTGACAAATATCTTCTTCCTTTCTGTTGAATGTCTGTGTACTCTATTTTAATGTTGCTCTTTTGTGTCAAGAACATTTTCCTTTGATGTAATCCCATTTGTTAGTTTTTGCTTTTTGTGGTGTTGGACTCAAGTTATTTTTCTGTTGCTGTGTAGAGGCACCGTGTTCAAGGCAGCGTACAAATGAAAGCTGTTAATTTGAGGCTCATGGTTCCTGAGGGTAGTAGAGTTCATGATCATCATGACAGGAAGCATGGCAGCAAGCGGGCATGGCTCTGGAGCAGTGGATGAGATCTTACATCTGACCCACAGGCACAAGGCAGGGATGGGGGAGAGAGGAGGGAAGTGTGCACTAGCTGGGAATGGCTTGAACTTTTGATACCTCAGAGCCCACCCCCTGTGATCCGCCTTCTTCAGCAAGGCCACAACTGCTAATCCTTCCCAAACAGTACCACTAACTGTGATTCAAACATTCAGATACATGAAATGACAGAGGCCGTTCTCATTCTCATTCTCACAGACTCTTGTCCCAAAACATCATTGTATCACTATCTTAAAGTGTTTCTTTATATTTTCCTCTACTAGTTTTTAGTTCTGGGTTTTGCATTTAGACTTTTATTTTGAGCTGAGAAGTAGGAATCTGGTTTCACTTTTCTGCATGCATGTTTGTATCCTGTCTCCCAGCAACATTTATTAAAGATGCTCTTTCCCCCTATATTGTGTGCTATTGAAACATCAGAGAATTAGCTGAATGTAGTTGTATAGAAGGGTTCGCTCATCTCTTCTGGATCTTTGTATCTGTTTTAGGTCAATCATGCTGTTCCCATAATTATGGCTCCCATATATATTTCAAAATCAGATATTGTGATGCCCCAGCTTTAATCGTTATACTTAAGGTTGCCTTGGCTATTTAGGGTCTTTTATATTTCCATATGAATCCTGGGATTTTTTTTTTTTTTGTAACTCTGAAGAATGTCATTAGAATTTGATGGGGGATTGTATGGAATCTGTAGTTCACTTTGGGTATGACATGCTATGATTTCTCCTTTACAAAATTCATTACTGGTATATAGAAAAACTATTGTTCTTTGTGTTTTCATTCTGTATCTTGTTTTTTTTTTAATGGAATTTGTTTATCTGTTCTAATATTGTTGATATCTGTAGATACTTTTATATAGAGACATATTTTATATCACATAAAGCATAATTTTATTCTGTTTTTCTATTTTATAACTTTTTTATTTCACACGTAATTGTTCTTCCTAAAGATTGTAGCACTATGTTGAATAGAAGCAGTGTTTAGATTAAATACTTTTGTTTATTCCTGATCTTAGAGAAAATACTATCAGTTTTTCCCTATTCATTATGATGTTGACTGTTATACATAGCCTGTATCATATTGAGTTGATCCTTGTATAGCTAATTTTTTTAGAGTTCTTGTCATGAAGAGATGTTCATTAATTTTTTCTACATTTGTTGGAATGATTTTATGATATTTTTTATTTATTATTAAGTTGATTGATGTTTATTTACATATAATTATACCTGGGATGAAGCCAGCTGGGTTATGGGGTATGAGTTTTTTTTAATATGCTCTTCAATTTGATTTTCTAACATTTTGTTGAGGATATTTATATCACTGTTCAGGTATATTGGGTTGTAGTTTTGTCCTCCACTTTTTTCTTCTCTTCTTCTCTTCTCTTCTCTTCTCTTCTCTTCTCTTCTCTTCTCTTCTCTTCTCTTCTCTTCTCTTCTCTTCTCTTCTCTCCCCTCCCCTCCCTTTTTCCTTTTCCTCCTCCTCTCTCTCTCTCTCTCTTTCTTTCTCTCTCTCTTGCTGTGATCTTGTCAGGTTTTAATTTCAAGTTAATTGTGTTCTCATTAAATGCAATAGATGTCTATCAACAGATGAATAGATGATGAGAATCTGGTACATGCATAAAATGGAATATTATCCAGCTAAATCACAAAATTTGAAGGCGAATGGATAGACTTAGAATGTATAATAAATAGTAAGCAAGATCATTCCATTTCAGAGAGAAAAAACTTACATGTTCTCATTCATATGTTGATTATAGCATGCATATATGAAA